TAAATATTTCTTTTCATTATATATACCCAAATATTGTCTGGTAGAAATCACTATAAGTGATAAGACCACCTTTGTACCCATTATTATTTTTATTTATTTATATTATTAATGGTGTACAATAAAGTTATATTGTATCCTATTAAACTGTCAAACACCAAGCGGTCACCGGTGACCGCAACCTATTGTTCTATAATTGTGTCTACAAAACCGGTACTCGACGAGTTAAAGCCTATTTTTAGCAGCAAAAATTGCAACAAGTAATCAAAAAACCTAATATAGATATGTAAATAAAACACCAATACAATTTGTTCACCACAAAAACATCTAACAACACAATAATCACGTTGTCAAGGCGTATGTTCTTCATTATACGAAGCTTATGAATATTCATACTTGTTCAAGTAAGTAGAAACTTATTAAATTCTCTTCAGAAACTCGGTCCCTTTCATAATTGCTCGACTATACAACTTGCTGCGGCTCCACCTGTTAGCTTTGCAACTAAGCGGCCTCATTAAGCGGCCAGGCGTAGGTAAGTTGTGACTACAAACTCCGTTAATTAAAGTAACTTAATCACTAAAAAACATAAGTTTTAATTACATTCACTTTGTAAATAGGTTCGAAAAATAATGTCTGACGCCTTAGAGAAAGTAATTTTTAAGCTTTTACTACATCGTGTAATTATGTAAACATCATAAAATCTCAGTAGTAGCACGGAGTCTGGAATTGTGTCCGGTATATATGTACTTAGTAATAGTTTGCCAACGTTTGCCAAGCCAACATTTATACACAATTACAGTAAAATTTTATCCCCGAAGGGGTAGGCAGAGGTACACATTACGGCACTTATTGCCACTGTACAATGTAACACCCACTTTTCATTATTTATGTTATGAGTCCCATGTAATAGGGACCTATTGCCTATTGCCATATACCGGGCACATTTCCAGACTCCGTGCTACTACTGAGATTTTTAAAAACCCAGTGATACTTTGCCTGACCCGGGAATCGAACCCGAGACCCCTTGCCCGGTAGTCGCACTTGCGACCACTCGGCCAACGAGGCAGTCTTCTACTAAGTATTAAGTAGGTACTTCTTAAATAATATTGATTCATCTCCAAAAATATTGCAATATACATACAAGCTTCCGCGATACCCACTCAAAATGTACAATGTACAGCTATATTTCGATCCTACTTCACAGTCGCAATGGCACTCGATATCCTCGATGTGAACGCAGGAAATTGGGAATATTATATTTGTTACGAACACCTTTTGTGCTGAATATTTCAAGGAAATATTTCCTGTATCAATGCTTCTCTGAAGCAACTAAGTATATATTTTGTGGAGAGCGTCAAGATACTAGATAGAACCTCTTTGGTAACAGTAGTTGAACTAAAGCTGCTGCCTTGCTTCATACCTTTTTGTTAAAATTACTACACTTTAGTTATGATGTTCGTTCCTTGATTTGGATCTAGATCAAATTTTAAAACTTTTTGGTTTTAATTTTGAAATTTTTTTGATCTGGTGTTTGAACAGTAATATCAATTGACAAGTACATTCTATTATATTTAACCTAGGTTAAACTACTTGATAAAACCTCATCATCATCATCAACAGCCTATAACTGCCCACTGCTGAGCAAAGCCTCTTCTCACACGGAGAAGGTTTGAGCATTAATCACCACGCTTGCTCAATGCGGGTTGGCGATTTCAAACTTTTAGAAATTATAAGTCCAGGTTTCCGCACGATGTTTTCCTTCACCGTTTGTCAGTGGCGTCTAAATAATCTTAGAAAGTACATATAACTCGGAAAATGTCACATTGGTACTTGCGGTTGGTAGGTTTCGAACCTGCACCCTCACCAGACCCTCATGCATGAGAAGCGAGCGTCTTAAACCTCAGGACCACCACGACTGATAAAACCTATTTTTGACAAAAATCAATGGAACTAATTACAAAAATCATCAAAATTCTCACAGAATTCGGTGAGATCGCTTATAATTTGGACGTAAATGGTACATAATAATCGTAATCCATGCCCTTTAGCCGAATAGGGGCATCACTTAACCTTCATATGCTATTTTTAGCTGTCTGTAAGTTAATTCAAGGAGACTAACTTCAATAAGTTGTAATCCATCGCTTTGTCTACATGGTTACCTTAATCATACCGTTGGGCCGGACTTAGGGAGATTCTTTCTTAACAGATTTTTATCGATTGAAACTTCATTATCTACTTTGGTTTATGAAGATTTTTTTATATGATTCATCATTATTATTTGTATTGTTTAACACTGGATCAAGTGCTACAATTTAATAATTGTGTCATCCCTAGTACAACACGATGTCAAATATTTAGCAGTCGCGAATGAAGTGCTTTTAATTTATTCATTATGCTCATTAGTGTCCATTGAGTAATGCGATGTTTTTAATTAACCTATGAATGTGTACAATGAGATGATAGTCAATTCATACATAAATATGTATTTTCCTTCTGATGAATTGGAAAATTCTCATGTAACCCTTTCGCAAGCATAGGGGACATCTGAAACACCAGAAGCGTTACAAGTGCGTTACCAGCCTTTTGTGAATTGGGAATTTAAGGATTGTAGGGGATTCGAGGATTGGGGAGACTGGGGAGGGAAGGGGGTAATTGGGCCTGCGGTAACCTCACTCACACGACGAAACAGAACACAAGCGTTATTTCACGTCGATTTTCTTTAGGCCGTGGTATCACTCCGGTCCAGACTAATTTGGTTTTAATTGATGTTGAGACCAGTTTACAAAATTTCAGATCAATTTAAGACTACGAGAAGTGAGAATGGTAATAAAATAGCAATATTATAACATTATTATAATAATAAGCGAATATTTCTCGCTATGAAACCCGAGAGCGTTGTGGTCGCATTCCTGATTGCTTCGCGCGGAGACGAACGACCGTCACTTGATGTACAGTTCTCCATACTTAAATGTTTTTATATGAAAAATACTTATTTAAGTATGTGAAAGGTCACTTATATAAGTACTGTTAGAAGCATAGACAAAAAAAACGAAACGTCATCGCGTAGCGCGAAAATGTAACTAATCTATGGTTCGAGAAATGAAAAAGTAAAGATGGCGGGAACTCGGAAGTATTTGGTATTGAGGGAATTTTAATCTATTTGAAAATCAATTACTAGTTAATTTGCCTATTTGTGTGTTGTTGTTGTTGTTTTTCTTTCCAGTTAATAAGTATGGTTTAGCTAGACCTCAGGTTTTGTAATTTGATTTCAATGTTAACAATACGTGCATTATAATGGCGGTACTCTTAATTTCCCTGCCTTCTGAGTTTCTAAAATCCAATGTGATCTAAAAAAAAGTTAAGTAATAAGTTTCTAATATCAAAGAGTAAGGTAAAGTCTATGCAAGTTTTTAACTTTTCTAATAAAACTAACCTAGATTATATTTCGACTTCTTGCTCATATATTTTGATCTTAAATCCGTAGCAATACAGGGTAAAGCGGACTGTAGGTGATGGAGTTTTCAGTATTGTGTTATATTTCTATGTATGGTAGGTATGTTTGAATAAACTTATAAAACTATTTGTTTCATGGATCAAGCCTGTAAAGTGTTGTAGAAACTCAGGTAGGGTGTTAAAGGTTAAGAAGCTTAATAACTTACTTCAATGGCTAATTTTAAGTTGAGCCTACTTAAGTTTAAGTTATTGAGAACATGCCAAGTTGAAAATTCTTCGTTTAAAAATAAAACTATAATTTGAAGACATTCAGGACAATCAATTGAATGATTCTTTATGAGTTTCCGTCTATGTTTGTTACTCAAAGACGACAAAGCAATTGAAGCGATCGGGATGAAATCTGGAACAGTGGTAAATTATGGTCTAGCATAACACAAAAGATACTTTTATTCTATGAGAACGCGGGCGAAGCCGCTGGCAGAAGCTAGTAAATCTTACCCCATCTTTTTTTACCAAAAAGGCGTAATATCGAAATCTATACTAGTTTTCATCCGACTGTACCAACATACTCGCTCCTTTTATGTATAGTTATACGCACAGGAATTTGCGGTCAGCATTGCATTTAGAACTAGCTCTGCTAGTCTGACGATTATGAAGATGGGGTTTAGTTTAACGAGTTGTTCTAGCCAGAACATCATGTTCGGTTTGTTAAAGTATAAGTATGAGTTTTCTACTGGAATGTTAACTTCAATAATATAGACAACAACAAAATGTATGAAAAATTCTGTGGTATAAACTTCTAGAACTGTATGAGGACATACATCTAATGCTATAAGTCATTGTAAAAAGAAAATGTAGAAAGCGTACCTATTTCTTCTCAGATGAGGTAGTACTTATGTTTGTTACTTTTTATGCTACTGAACGGAGGTCCGTGCGGTACACAGGTGGCCTATCTGCAAGGCCGTCTTAGACTACACTGGGGCCCTTGGGCACACAATAATTCTTTCAAATTTTTTTTTTTAACATTGCACCACACTACGATTTTCTCCTGTATTGTGGTTGCATTTGCAAACATACAAGTTCTCATACACATGACACCCAGACCCGAACCAATCATGTGTGGACCATATAAAGATTTTTTTATCGGACAAGTCGGTAAACGACCGCACGGATCGCCTGATTTGCTCCGTTCGGGAAACGAACCGTTGCGCGCAAAGTGAAGCGGGTATATCCGTCTCCGTCGTAGAAATTGTCGGTCCTTGGGGGCCCCGTAAGGATGTGGGGCCCTGGGCACGGGCCCCGAGCACCCTTATGGTAAAGACAATATAGCCTGTGTCGTATGTACAACAATTAGGCTGCTTGTATCCAAGTAACGCTTTGTAAAACCACTATCAGAAGTTAGTATCAATGTAAAGTCTTCTTCAATTACCTGTCATCAGTCTTGGCCGTGACCCTGGGTGCCGCGAACTCATCAACAGCTCGGGAGTCAGGGAAGACGCTGCGCTTGTGTCTGGCTCCTTCCTCTTCTGTTGGTTTAGTCGGCTTCACTGCTGCTTGGACTGGCTGGAGCTCTGGAAATAAAACAAGGATATTAAATAACTGTTGAAATTGTCACGGCTAATATTCTGATAGATCTGCATACCTCAGCATGGAGATATAGAATTTCTTTAGTCCCAGAGCGGGTAGAAATGCTATACATAACGTATACAAAATTATGCGCTTTATTAAATCGATACAAAGTATCAGGTTCGAGCTATAAATACAAATGAGGAAAAGTATGACAAGTCTGCAAATAAGACACTATAAATGATTTTGATTGATTAAGAGGCAATAACAAACAGACGGAATACCTGATAGGAGGCGATCATCGCCGCCCATGGACTCACAACACCAGAGGAGTCACAGGTGCGTTGTCATTGTATGAATACTTAATTCTATCTTTTTCAACTCTTTGAAATTAACACATCCACATAAAAAGATTATTGCTACACACTTTTATAGAACTGGAACATACATTTAATCATACATTCCACTTAGGTGCTATTGCACCTGTCCCCAGGCTGTCATTCGTTTATCTAGAACTAAACATAAAACCTTTATAGCATTGAACTCTTTTACTTGTGGAACCTATGGGAACATCTCTCGTCTCATCAACTTGAGTGGTTTTAATCTAATGATATTGTTATCAGTGCCCTGCCATTCTGTTTGTAGAAAACATTTCGAAATTCCACAATTGGGTTAGCAAAAGTGTGTGTCAATAGGGTAGATGACTAATTTTTAATAGTCCGTCTGGTAGATTATTTTATTTATTTATTTTATTTATTTCAACTTTATACAACAAGTGTGTACAGGTGGACTTAATGCCATGGGCATTGTCTCCCAGTCAACCTTTAAGCAGTAATTTTAAATCATTAGACACGTATTTTTATTTTCTTACAGAAACGAATACTTTGACGATATATTGATTTGAAATGTCGCGTGACGTCACTTCTATGTACATTTTATACGTAGAAATGACATTTTAGCCAAACTCCTAATCTTTGATTCTTTTTATCTAAGTATTGTTTTCTTATACGACAAAATAAAAAAAATCGTGTCTAATATTTTTTCATTACCTAACTTACGGAGTTACGGACTAATTAGATTTTTAATTTTCATACCCTATCATCATCAGGGTTTAGAGACTTATTGTAATGTCAAATCATGATGGTTTTGGTTTCATTATTGGCTGCAAATCATTGTAGAGGTATAGCAAAACCTAATTGTATCTTGCTTTGTATCAAACCCGACATACTGTGCATGCTATCTTACTACCACGCAATCAAGGGGTCACGAAATCTCATAAAATATATTGATAGCTCTTAAATGTATATCAACATTCCGAAAATATAGAACGGAAATCATAAAAGTTTGTTGTGAAAATTTTGCAGTTGTGTTTGCAATATGAGTCAGAGTTATGACTAGCGGTTTCCTATGACCCTGATCGGTGCATATATACGTAATTGGTATATTAAAGTTGGCAATACTAGAATTTTGGTTATTAATAGATCGTAATGAGTTTCAATTGAATCCGCGGCGGTGAGACGGAATTTAGATGTCTCGTGAATTCGAATTTGTGTTTCTAGAATGTTTTGGAGACATTTATATCTATAAATTTTTATTTCATGTATAATTATTTTTTCTTTAAAATATGTATCCTGACACTAGATTTGAGTGTATGTAAACTAACATATACTTAGGTACCATGTTACACTCAGACTCTAAACAACAATTTGTGTATCACACATCGAATAAATACTATATAGTTCCATGCTTACCCAAGCTAGTATATAAACGCAGCTGTGATATTAAAATATAAACAATTAAATCCGTTTTTAGCTCGGAAAGTAAAGTAATCCATTACAATAAAAGTCTTAATTTCTTACCAATTCTCAAGTTTAGAAAGTTCCAAACTTCTTTGGAAATCCACAACTATTTGAAGCTTGATCGTTTGATAACAGAAAGATTAAATTGTTTTACAGGCTCTAGAACTTCGATACTCAGTTTTAAGTTTGTATAAATCCATCAGATTTGCCAAATAACGTTATAAAAATAACCACTCTCCTTTGTGATTTCAAAGAAAGTTTGCGACGAATCTGATTAAGACTTTCGATCGAAATTAATCACTGATCTTAATCGAATATCTCTGGATCGATCTAAGTTTTAGACAGATTAATGTTTTAACTCGTCGAGTACCGGTTTTGTAGACACAATTATAGAACAATAGGTTGCGGTCACCGGTGACCGCTTGGTGTTTGACAGTTTAAAAGGTATTTATTTATTAACCTAATTGGTCTTATAATAAAAGAGGAAGAAGAAAGAGACGCTAAGTCATACCAAAGTCTCCCTCGTTTACTCTTTCATTGAAAGATACAGGATATGTTCCCAATAAGTACTATTATTTTACAGTTTGGAATTGATCTTAATATAGCTATTTTTTGGTTTTATTTTGGATTCTCAACTTAAGAATACTTTTTTTAATTGCTATTAGCAAACACGACCAACTTCGAGAACCGTGTAATGAGTTCGCAATAAATGACGAGTCTATTGATATTCCAGTTACTGAATAAAATTATAAGTAGCCTATATAGTACTTCGTATATTATATGGAAATAAAGGGACATTAAAAGCAAATTCAATGCGTTGAAACGTTATAAATATGAGATGACAAAGATTGAAAATGGCGGTAAGAAGCTTAACGGTCCATGGCAGTCTTTCAACAAAATTCTATAGGTACAACTTTCAGCTTTTCAGGAAAGTACTGAAGCTTTTCATAATACTTTTGAAGACTGATTTTTACTAGGCTTTGCTCAGAAAATGAGAAAGTACATTTCTATGTACAAGTAAAGCGGGTTTGCCTGTGTTAGGTAATAATTAGTCGAGCAATGCAAAGACGTTGAGAAAAATGTGGACGTAATGTCACTTACAAATGAGTGAAGCACCAAACTGCTTTTTATAGAATTCACCTAAAGACAGCAAATCTACGATTGGGAGCTGTTGTATAGCCGATAAAGTAAGTTTTTTAATTATCTTTATTATATTTTCGAATGAATGACCGAATTCAACCGACCCATATCGAAATACTTATGGGTCGGTTGAAACTGTTGAAAGCCATATGAATCTAGAGTCTCAAAGACTCCCCTGTCAGGTTGTCTGTCAATTATTCTTAAACGTAAAAGCTTTCCAAGATGATAATAGTATTCTTACCTGGCAAGTCAGGGTCTTCCGGGTTCTCGTTCAGTCTTCTCTTGATCTCCCCGATATTAGTCATCACAGACTTGTCTCCGAAGGCCACGTCGCTGTCCACAAAGTCTTCGGGCCGAAGGTGCACCATATTCGTTGTGCCCACCTGAAGCAGATTGAAGATATTTATTGTAGGATTTCATTTATGTTACAGTCTGAGACTGCTAAATAAATGGATAGATAGATAAATAAAGGACATGAGAAAAGAGCAGTGTGTTCGAAACTTGGGAAAAAATCATTTAACTTATCTACAAGTATTATGTCTGCTAATACGTTTTTTTGTTACAACAATGTATTTTGTATCTTAACGAAAATGAAATCCCTTCAGGATGTAAGACATTAGGCTATTCTCCCTCAACTGTTCAAATGTAACGTTATTTAACATCAACTTTTTGCCAAATTCTATGTTACAATAGTTACGCGGTACGAATTTATTATTAACACAGAATTAAGTGATATGTGGGTATATTAGTAATCTGGATTTGCGCACGACCTAGCGAGTTACCGGGGCTCCGGCTCCACGCAGGAGTAGGAACTGAGTGGTTTCTAGTCATTAGTCAGATACTCCCTCTAGCGGCACCCAAGATGTTCGACGCCTTTGGGTGATACTTCCCCTTCAAAAAAGTACATTAGTAATGATTGTATTGTGCGTACGGTGCGTCGCGTTCCGCGCGCGCCTCAAAGAGCTATCAGACCACCACAGATGGGGCTCAACAGGGCCAATGCCGATTCGGAGTCGCGGAGAATCTAACGGGTAACCGGGGCTCCGGCTCGTGCTGGAGAAGGAACGGGATGGTTTTTAGTCAGTAAGAGCCTGACACTCCCTCCCGCCTCACCCAGGTGGGAGCAGTCATTCGATGATTTTCCCCCCCTTAAAAAAAAATGATTGTATTGTAATTTTATAATAAATTTTAATAAAGTAAAAATCTTAAAACGTGATCTGTCTATTTGGCATTGAATTAATTCGTGTAATCTAATTCAAGATCATAATTCATTTATTTATTGCCGAAATCAAGTATATCGATGAATAATGCATGTTGATGACTAATATAATGATTTACATAACACTATCATTAATTAATATTATGTGTTTCAATATTTAATGTCAATGTATGAAATTATGTATTTTAATTTTAATACTGGCGCCGTCTGAATTTCTAAAGAGCGTCCCTAACTGGAACGTTAAACGAATCTGTTACTCGTAGTTTGTAGTAGTGAGGAAAGTAGACGAAGTTTGTTGCAATTTGTCGGTGAATGAAGGGTTATTCGTAACATTTCGAGATCTCTGTGCAGTGCTAGAGGCACATTGAGCCTCACAGCAGTAAGAGTCCATAATTATTTATTTATTTTAATTCGGGTAACCAACAGCTATACCTATTACATACAATAAAATTTCAGGATATGTTAATACAAAGCCGATTATAGGTTTCCACGGCTAGCCACAGTATATCTTCACAGAGGTTTTGCGAATGCAATGCACATAAAAGTATAAAACATGGATATTCATTCAAAAAAATTAAGGTTTAGTCGCCTACGCACCCTGGAGCTGCTTGTGGTAATAAATGGACATTAAGATACGAATATATAAAACTATAAAACGAAAGTTAGAAGAGAGACAAGATCACAAAATTGCTGATGGTTGTTGATACAGATGACTATCACATGAAGCCTAGTCTCCAAAAGCAATTAAGGAACTAATTTACTAATAACTATTACTATACTTAATAATACAATACCTAACTGTTCTAGTTACTGTTTAATTAACAATTTAATATAATTACTCTGAAGAAGATGAAAGAAAGTAATTATTGCAACCCTCGAAAGAAGAACAATGATCCGAATTGTTCTACTAAAACAAAGCTTCGATAAACCGTTCACCGTAAATAAGGAACAGGAAACAATATGAAAGCTTTGAAAGAAATTACTAACAAAAATATACAGAAGGACAACCATTATTTAGCAAGCAAATTGAGAGATGACCTTAATTTGATAAGTGGATTCTCATTATAGGTACTAGAAAAGCGTAGAAATAATAAGCAAAATAACATATTTGTACTCACTATATCTGCTAGTTTAAGTATATATATATAAGAAATATACAAGAAGTAAATAGATCTACTCATCTCTCCTAGCAACGTAACTAAAAACTGCAAATGGTGACTTTGTAAAAATAATGACACAAAACAAAGCATAGAAGTACAGAGAAAGTGTAATAAGCCTAATTACAAAACTACCAACACTTAAAGCAGACGCCATCACTATTTTGCAAAACAAAAGACGACCTTTACGATCTTCAGTTAACATACAAATGGGCCTTTTGAATTTGTTTATTTAGTGACTTGAGTCGGTAAATGGAAAGCGGTAAGTGCTCCCGATGATAGCGATCCAGTAAAAATATAGGCAGATGATACATTTTCGAAATTCAACAACAAATATTGTACGGGCGGTGTTGAAATGTTTTAAATATTTGAAAATGAAATTATTTGTGATTCATTTTTGTTAGCGTTAAGAAATAAAAGGGTGTGTTAAAATGGAAGGATTAAAACAGAGCGGAAGAGAATTTCTTGGGTAGGAAATGTACAAGACTCAGTTTGAATTTTTTTTCTCTTATCTATGGTATATGCTAATCCTACCGATATCATGGTCCCACGGCTTTTATAACCCAATCGAAGAACTTGGCTACTTAACTTGTAGGTCAATAATATGACTTGAAGATGATAATGTCTATAATGATAAGGTCTTCCCTGTTCTTCTTCAGTCAATTTAAAATGTCCCATTCAATCATCCGAAAGCCTTGAGAGATCGTTGGCACGAGGCTTAAATCTCAGTGAAATATCAAATAAATACAAAGTGTTCTTCAAAAAGCACTCAAAATAAGCGATTGTCGAAAGAGGCTTGTCAAGAAGAGGCGGCAATGAGACGGGAGCGACGGACAAACGAGTGCCACTCGAAATATTTGCACCACTCCTAAATGTATACGCAGACTGAACATTTTTGTCAATTGATGACAAATAAGCATTACCGGTCCAGGGAGTAAATACATAGATCCACTGAGAACTCAGGGGTAGATTTACGGCCGAAACCAATCTCATATTCTTACCCCAAAATCTTAGAATTAGGGGCAAGTCCCTTAACGCCGGACGGTTGTATTATCTCGATAACTAACAACGCGAGCGATTCAATTTTTAGGGGGAAGTCTCCCAGTGGCATACACCTAAGATTTTGAGTAAAAATTGAAGCGCGAGTGTTATCGTTAGGTGCCGTCCGGCGTTACGGGACTTTCCCCTAATCAACCAACTTTTGCCCTTATCAGCAATTGTTGAAGTTTGTGTCTAGGACAGAAACTTCTTTCAGTAAATAAAAAATCTTCAGAGATTTTGTCCTCTAAGAATGTGTATTGTTATAGTACTACATGGATAGTTGCTCGTCTGCACAAGTCTTGAATGCCATCAGATGTTGGTATTAACAGGATCACTGACACAATGCTATGGGATATCAAATACATATAGAGCCCAATTTAGAATAAGTTCAACGACAGGGAAAGGTGAGATCAATGATTGGAAGAAATGTAATTGGAGTGTAAAAGGTCATATTTTTACCGTGGAAAAAAGTCGCAGACAAAGATATTATAGTACGTACATATTAGTGACGTTGGAAGACGATCAAGAATAACATGACGCACTAACAAAACTTGATACTGATGCTCTCAAATACTAATAGAATCTATGTTTCATTCATATTTTTATTAACTTGTAATGTAATAAATTATGAACCAGATTACCAAATTTACATAGTCAAGAGTCTCAATGAAATCAGCATTAATATTTAGGTACATTCATAAATAAATAATTCAACATCTTCGGAAAGAATATGAATTATTTTTAATGAAATTAATATAAATATTCTGAGTATTTGACAGTAGAATATTATTCAAGACAGGGAAAAATACGTGCTTGAATATAAATTAGGTAATAAAAGCAATTAAACACGATTGTGCATCTTATAAGATTTTGTGAGACGTGAAATAAACCCATTTAAGGAAACTAACCAAACAACAAAATACTTGTTAATGTAGGTAAATACCATTTGTCTATGTAGGTAGGATATAATACCTATTTATTAGCACTAATATAATAATATCAGAAGTATAAAACCAATGTATAATTCCTTCTGTTGTATATCTTTTGCGATATATGTATATGCGAATTGAAATGTGATAAAAATACAATCAAGTATAGCAGTTATAAGAGTCATATACCTAAAATAATTATACATAATTATTTTGAAGAATACACAGATAAAATGGCTTGTACACAAATAATAGTTAACACTTGAAAGAGAAAACACGAAGATTATTTCGTCTTAAATTTTAATAACATTTAATTATTCCAGCGTGGTAAACAAACGTCTCAGAGTAAACACTCGAACATTAATATAGTAACAGATTCATGATGAAAATATAAACAATTATTTAGAAGAGATCAGCAAATACTTTACTCTAGGACAATTCCGTTTAAATTTTCATGAAATCACAACATAATACTAAGATGTATTCCCAAAGGACAATGCGCGGGTAAATTATAACCTCAGAATGTTACTTTGAGGTTATGTAGATAGTTTTAATCCGCCATTTTGATTTCACTTGCGTAAATGCATATCGATTTTCTTATTAATTTCCTTGACAACAAAGCTGATGCTCAATGGATTTTGTTCATGAATTATTAATGTTTATTGTGATTAAAACAAGTCTTATGTAATCTGTTAAGTATAAGAATATGTAAGCGCATGTGTGATTGCCTTATCTCTTTAATAGATTTTATTATTAGATTCCTCTTAGGTGGAAATATGAACTAATCTCACTTTATCAGATCATACATATTTCCATAAAAATCGCGTACCTAAACAAACGACCTTTACCAGCTTTTAGATACCTAGGTAGCTACTTCAAATTGTATTAGCATAGATTAAAATAGTTCTGACATCATACCATACGAAATCTCAAAGGATTTGTTTAAAACACTAGACTTCTATTAATTTATTTTTCCTTTTGTTTCTGAATCATATTATTCTATCACAATTTGATATATTAATAATTTAGATACCTATTAAATTACGTAATTGATTATATTAGCTCTTCTTCAATAACAATACAGGAAACTACCCAATTTTAATACATTATCTTCACCAGGAAAAGCTCAAGAACATTTCTCCGAAGTTTAAGTCTTCAAAATACAAAAGTACGAAGGTCGTCACTCTACAGACTCTCCAAACTCAAATAAACTTATCGTGTTCACGTTAACACGTTCGTAAATACTTTCTTTAGGTATTAAATTCCCAAAATCAAGACCAATTTTCCTGTTTGAAAGCATTCAGATTATTTACAAAAGGAATTCACAATTAGCACATAATTCTGAACATTTCAATACGTTTTCCATTTCGAAGAAAACAGAATTATTTTCTCAAGGATTTTCCGTAAATTCGTTTTGTTTAAATTACGTTAAAATATCCGGATTTTAGCAATGGATACTTCAACAAAAAAGTAAGTAATGAAATTAATCAAGTTACTTCATTTGGTTTTAAAAATGTCTCTTAGATTCTTCTAAAGCCTACTTTATAGACTGAAACAAACATTTTAAAAAAATTAAATTAATATTTGCAGTTAGTATAACTACGTATCTAAGTGTAGATAGCAAAGAGTATAAAATTAGTGAAAAAAAGAAAACGACTTTCGACATTTAAATTACGACATTCGTTATTTAAACTTTTATTTTTTTTTGGCTCTTTATAACATCTGACCTTTTCGTCTATATTTAGTCTATTTTTAATTACTTGTGAATCGTTGTTTTAACAAAAATATAAATTTAAAAACTAATTAATAAAGTAAAGAAACAGTGTTGTCTCGTATAGAACTCTTTGTATCAAGAATTATTAACTGAAGCGTAACGACGTATGCGACATCTACCTTGAACCCTGACCGCTTCACTTAATACCAATACGACGAATTTACTTTGTTTATCACCTTTATTATGGTCTAAATCGATGAATAGACGTGAACAGATTATTATTGTATAATCATCATAATATTTAAAAACATCAATTATATTTTAAAATATTTATACGTATCTGCAGAAGATTATTTTATGGGAGTTATTTTTTTCTTAAACTTTTTCGCTGGTGTTTACTGCATGCAATAAAAATATTGAAGTCATATCGGTCGGGACGTCCTTTGGTGCTCTGGACTGTGGTAGTCATACCAAAATATAGCGTTTGATTTTTTTTATATACCAACAAAAATGAATATTTTAACGCATTACGTCTGATTAAGAAGTCGAAAATAATTTATGAATAACGAATATATACGTACCTTTTTTAATTAATTAGGTAAGTGAGCATATCACATTCAAATTTAAACAAAATAGCAGTAGCGCGGAGTCTGGAATTGTGCCCGGTATATGGCAATAGGCTCACCCCCTATTACATGGGACCCATTACATAAAATAGTGGAAAGTGGGTGTTACATTGTACAGTGGCACTAAGTACTGTATTGTGCACCTCTGCTTACCCCTTCGAGATTAAAAGGCATGTGATGAATGAATGAGTTCAATGTACATTGTACTCACAACTTTTTCACCTCGATCACTAGCTATAACTTAGTTAATATCTGCTTTCCCATTATAACTTTAAAAAATAAAATACGTTGCCCCAGCCTAGGATTTTCTCCCATGTCGTGGGTACATTTACAAACATACAAGTTCACATACACATGACACCCAGACCCGGAACAACAATTTGTGGTTCACACAAATAGTTGCTCCGTGCGGGAATCGAACCAGCGACACGTTGCGTTTCAGTCGGTTGCCCAGCCACGCACCAACCGTGCCATGGTTTTAAATTCTCCCTTCGCCCTACTTTTGGTAAAACCTCTTGTACTACAAAACCAAGGCCATGACTTCTACTACTTACATGCTGTGCCCTCTTATCATAATCAGGGTACCAATCTCCACTCTCAGCATCGTCTCCCGTGTCCATTAGGTCCTCGTCATCTCCCAGATTGTCATCCTCCAGCACTGTCAGACCGTGTAGCTTCTCCAGAGAGTCATACGCTCGGTCCTTTGTGTCATCCTTGTCATCCACTATGCTGCTGATGTCGTCATCTGCATAGATCTGGTGACAAAGAAGTTTGAAGTTAGACATAGGATCTTGATATCTTTTAGATAATCTTCACAATTTATTATTTTTATCGATGACTAGCTCTAGTGACTAATGTGTAATTATTATTCTCAAATACTGGTAAGGATGCCTTTTTTTGATGACGGGGGAACCTTTCAAATGGCGTCTAACTTTTTAGGGAAAAATACTAGGTAGTGTGGCATTTTTAGCTCAGTAAAACCTCCCCGGTGATCACCATCCGCACATGAAGTACGTACCGGGTCCTCATTGACATTTAATTTTTACTAATTTGCTCCATTATAATTTTCCTCTAAGTCCATATTTCACTCTACTTTCCTATAAGGGATTATGATTTATCACGACAAATCAGTGCAGAACACCCGAAAATACCGAATAAAATAAAATTATCTAAAAATTGGACAAACTGACGAATGTAAACAAAAAACTCATCTGCCTTTACAACAACAATAAACTTCGCTCTATTTCAAACTGTAATCAGAATTTAGAGGCTACAAATGTAGACCGGGGCCTAGAGCCCGCAGTCCACAAGGAACCGTGTGTAGAAACAATAAAACGAATAGAACATCTAGAACATTCCATTACTCTCCATTAGCTGAACAAGTGAACACTGCACATCACAACAAGCTATACAAAACCTGTATAAACTGACCGTCGAATATACGGAAAGATTACACAAATCAAGACCATTATACATTGGTCATGGATACTTCGATATGCAGCCACGCAGTACACGAGGACCTACAAGAGAACAGGATTATTTTCTTTTACTTTTCTCTCAAAACATTGAGCGAATGCAATCAAACAATGTTGTTACAGGACAAAGCTTTTGATTTTGATTCAATTACTCTTCATTTATTACAGAAATCTAAGGAAGTGTTTTTATTCGCCTTTCTATACAACTTCGGATGTAGATTGCAATGGTGTGGAAATAAAACAAAATGATATCAGTTTTGCCACAAAAGGAAAGGTTGTTAACCAATGCTTTTCTAATTTATAAGACAGACATAGTTCAAATATTAAAACTTACTTATAAATAAAAACTAAAAACTAGGAATCATTTCTTGGCTTTAATTCTAAACGTTACTCTTAAGACTATTAGAACTAGCTGATCTAATAGTCTTATATTTAAGGTCAAATCCAATAAAAAGCGACCTAAAATCACAAGCATTAGAGACGCTTTTATTGAACAGCTTTAAACGTATTTCCAAACGACTGTTAGCCATTAATGCGGGTGTCACGTTTCGAGCACCAAAGTGGTTTACCTTTACTGATAAAATGAGAACTTTCAGGTGTCTAGTCGTGATCATGACAGCTTAACCCACTTTTAGGTTCCATCTCTTTAAATTGATAGAATAAGCCGTCACTCGTTTCTTGGCTCTTAAAATCGGATTGAAAGACTCGAACTTTTCTTTACACATTTATTCAATACCCACACCTAATCTTAAAGCAATAAGGTTTCTAATAACACAGCATCAATCATAATAAAGTCGTAATACCAACAACTTCAAGACGCAAACAGAAATCAAATTAAACATATTACAAAACAAATTAAATAGTAATTTCTGTACAGTGTAACGCAAGAATTCAATTATGCAGAACCCTTGAAGGTGATTAAAGCAATTTGTCATCACAAGTGATCCCTGTCAGTGACATGTTCATACAACTCTCTGTGTAATTGATGTGAAAGATATGTGATGTAAGGTCCGTTATGAAGCTGCGGACAGAAGGACCAAGTTTGAAGAAGTTGTAGTCTTTTGATACACAAGATTAAGCTTATAAGATATAAGAATCTTCGTGTAGTTTTGATGATTTGTTTAATAGTTAAATTGTTAGTCGATTTTGGTAGCTATTGTTTACTAGTATGTTGCTTTTTCCTGAACATACGACTAATCAAATCACATCGAACGGAGGACTTGATACAATCACACTTTTTCTCATCTGATAATCTATAAATCATGTCCACACGCCATATTTATAACAATAACATTATCAGATAAGTTTACGAATCTTCTGTCTATTTCTATCCTGTTCCCATGGGCTATCAATCATAATAAATGATTGTACTATGGTAATACGACGGCCCTTAAAATATTCCTTCAGGGTATCTATATCAAACAGAATGGTTAAGTAGATTTTCTAGGAAATTTAATAATAATATGAAATTTGTTCATACAATTTCGTTAAAGGATTATTTTATTATAATAATGCTTCTGTTATTAAGAAGATTTTGACTGATATAAATAAGTTTTCGGCAAATACAATAATTTTCTTAGAAGCAATTCCTTTTAAGATATTCCTTATGTAAATACAACCTTCTTGGAAAAGAATGATTACATTAATAAGCGTTGGCTGTTTATAAAAAGCAAAACTTGACTATGTTCTTAATTTAAAATTAAAATTATTATGACTTCGAAAATGTGCGCGTCGACCATCACTCAGTCATTCTAAGCACTAGATAAACAAAATAGAGGTAAGTAGCTATTGGAACTATTCGTAGAAGATTTATTATAGATGCTCTTAAAAGTCAATAAATCAAAGTTAAACTTATATAAACAAATCATATGTTAACTCACATGTAGCATTGATTGAGATTCCCACACGAACAACTTAATTAACTAATCCCTTGAATCGCGAAACGTGATCCGTACTGTATCGCATTTCCATAACACCAACCTTTGAACTACATCTTACTCTTTCACTCTTTTTTCAGGACGATAAGAGTAAAAGAGATAGATGGAGAGCTCGTTATTTGAAAGCTCAGCGTCACATTAAACGCTTCAGTTCATAAATAAAATGGTTATCGTAGTATTCCTTGTCAAGTAATGCAAGAGATTTATTTATCAATTGCAGTAGTACTTGATATGAGTATAGGTTTAAAAAGCATGACCTATTTAACGCCTTAAAGATCGTTTTGAAGGGACTTTCGAAAGTCTTTGTCATTTTCTAATTTCTTGATGTTTTTTCAAAACGTCAGAATGTATTAGCTCGACTCGGAGGACCAAAATTTTTCTGCTATGAGTTATGATAATAATCAACATTTTTGTCTGAAATTTGGATTACGCAAACCGATTTTCGACTGAAAACGCAACTGAATTTCGTATGGGTTATTCTTCTAAATAATTCCTAAACAATATTTTCCAAACAACTAAAGACAACACCTAGTTAAGGTCACTGACCTTGGCAGGGTGAGTCGCAAGTCATTTCATGGTGTATTTAACACGTCCCATTTCGACCGAGCATGTTACAGACGTGCGCCCAAACAAATGTACTGTCAACCGGACATCAAGGTATACCAAACCAGTATAACTAGACGTCTGATTTAACAGGCTTTGCTTGAAGTTAGAGCTCAAGTAAGAGGGTTTTATATTGATTTGCTTTTGTATAATATGTATGTAATATTTATATTAAATGTTCATATTCTCTCACACACAGCAAGGGCAAAGTACAAATATTTGTTGCTGTAATTACTTCTTGATGTACTGCGATAATAATGTGGGAATATTTTTTATCATTAGGTATATCTTAATACTCAGTAAGTACATACAACATTTATTTCTCATTTACTTGTAAGATTAATACAGAAGGACTATTTTCCCGTGTACATAAAATAGCTGGACGTTAATTAAGCTTTATTTTTGGTGATGAAATAAGTATGAGGATAATTTTGGGTACAAAAAATAATATAATTGACGGAAATCTTGAACACGCTTAGAACAATAAAGACATAGAGCGAAGGACCAGCCATCCGTAACTAAAGACAGACACGTGATGCGATGCATTGGGTATCGACAAGAATGTTAAAATTGCAAATAAAAATGTCGAAAGACCAAATATATGTACATAGCAATAAACTATAGTTAGTTTCGAAATTCTCTCAAAAACTCAACTAAAAAGTAAGTTCCAAAATTGTACTTCATAATGATTCGACTACATTACAACTAAGAAATTATTATTTACACAAACCAAACTTGAACCTTAGTTCATCCGTCACTGTTTACTAGGAATAGTCAACCATTAACTAATGTATATAAATAAATCATTACCTAATTACTTAGAAATGACAAATAAAAAGACAAATGTATTCCAAGAATAAGTAATAGGCGTAAATAAATACAATTACACCAAACAAAAGAATTCCAGCAACAACAAGCATAATAATATTTAAATGGACAAACAGAAAATGGTTTTGTAAATTATACCTATGTTGTATCGCTTGTAACTTTGTTCGAAGTTTATATACCAATTAAAATATTACTCAGGTACAATTCCCTACAAACAAATTTCCTTGCGACTCGAAGGACCAAAGTTTTCCAATTAAGTCCGCAACTTGTCATCTGTTAGGGAAAGTTAGTGAAGTCACTAAGATAGATAAAGTGAAGGTAACATAGACGTTTAATATTGTTCCGAGTTCATATACTTGATCGACTGCCTATTTGGTTGATTAATGATCAACCTCTAAGGTACAGGCTCGGCCTAGTTTAGATGTTAGTATTCATAAACTGTGTGTCTAAGGTTTTCGTTACAATAAACACTTTTTATTTTATTATTTATTTTATTTAATGATCGATTAAAAATCGAGAGAGTATTATTGGCCATTTTAATTTTCAAAATTCTTAGTAATAGCATACGTACGATTATGAATTTAGACTCTGTTTCTTGTACTAAGAACTCCTAAATCTGTTGAAAAGTGGGTGATATATCCAATAATTGTACCTGTATCTATCCCTTCCTGGAAAAGCCATGATATTATGAACATTCGCCAATCGATGACGTTTATGCATGCGGAAGCGTGGATGGACGGGGTGAATGACCGGTGACGGTGGCGCCACTTCGGATCTATGTAGGAAGATGTCCCACAATAGTCCATCTATAATAGACTTCGCAGAAATTATCTGTGATATAATCTGCACATGACATTTGCATACTCTGTGGCTCATAGTTTTAAATACCGATAGTAATTAATGAACGTAAAA